ATTTAAAGAAATAGTTACCATATATGTTGGGCAGTCATAATTGACTTATTAATTATTTCAATTAATTATCCTTTTTATCCAAGGTTTTTGGTTGAATTAAAAATTTAGTGTCCCGCTCGTAACACTAACTTTTTCGTCTCAACCAAGGCCTTAGATAAAAACTGTAATTAATTGACATAAATATAATGTTGAATAAATTATAATTTTGTTAAAACGAAGGTTGATTTATTTAATTAGACATATTTATTATTAGGACTGAACCATATATTTTAGATTTTTTTCCAAATTAGCTGTGATTGTTCTTTATTTTACATTGACCTGTTTTGGATTAATAATAACAAAAATAATTAAAAAAACTGATGAATGCTGATTGATGCATGGTACCACAAAATTTCTAGTACTTATAATTGTACAATTTTTTCCGTTCAAGCAATCTAGTTTTTCACAGTATGACTATAGAAAATAATCAATTCGAACAAGTAAGTTCAACTTAGCTCACATTACAAAAATTCTTTCTTTACTGTTTGTAACTTGTAGGAACTTATAGGTAGGGTGTAAAAGACAATGCTCTAACGGGTATTAAACGTTTTAAATTTTCCTTTCTTTCTTCTCCTTCTCAACTTTGCACGTACAAGTACATAATACACATTAGTACAAAATAGAGCTTACGGCTTGTAGCGGGAAGCCTCGAGAATCACCCACTTCGGTGTCTCGACAGACCTTGGTCAGATCTCGGCCTTATCCGTCCCACGCCGAAGTTCCAGGTGCTAACTAACCTAAACTATTTCAGTTCTCAATCAACCTTTCTTGAATATAGCGCAAAGTTCTAAAATTCCATCCATTCCGCTAGCTCGCTGGTTTTTCAAAGTTAGGTGCGAGTTACTTTACCTTAATTAAAATCCATTACAGTTCGTGGTCCGATTGACCAATTAACATTTTTCAATTAATTAATATTTATAAAAGATATTGGTCTGGATAAAAAAGTCAGTGTCTCGAGCGGGATGCGAACCCACGATCTTCGGCTAAATACGCCGCTGCTCTACCACTTGAGCTATCGTGACTTCGATAATTATAACCCCACAAGAGTCAATAGTTTCGATAAGTGCAACAGGCAGGGTCGAGAAGATTGTTTTACATTTTAGGAGAATGCCCAGTTTTAGCGGAATTCCGTGGCTTGCCCACGTTTACAAGAGAGCACCTAATCTTTATAGCATAAATTTGGTAAAATTTGGAATGGAAGCCTGGAACTACAGGAAAGATTTTTAAGAAGAATTTTAGTTCACTTGTATATCCATTATATTTAGTGTGTGATTGACCAAAATTACTTCTTTCAATTAATTTATCTTTTTATGTAAGGTCTTGGTTGAAATGAAAAAGTTAGTGTCACCAGCGGGATTCGAACCCACGACCTTCGAATCCCGCTCGTTACACTAACTTTTTCATTTCAACCAAGACCTTACATAAAAAGATTAATTTACTTATATAATGAAATGAAAAAGTTAGTGGCACGAGCGGGTTTCGAACCCACGACCTTTGAATCCCGCTCGTTACACTAACTTTTTCATTTCAACCAAGACCTTACATAAAAAGATTAATTTACTTATATAATGAAATGAAAAAGTTAGTGGCACGAGCGGGATTCGAACCCACGACCTTCGAATCCCGCTCGTTACACTAACTTTTTCATTTCAACCAAGACCTTACATAAAAAGATTAATTTACTTATATAGTTTTTACTCTTTTGTTTATTCATGAGAAGAAATTTTAGGTTTGTTTTGTTTGTTTATTAAAAATTTATAGACCATTGCCGTTATGTGCAATTTTTTTTCTGGTTTGTTTATCTAAAAAAGTACTTTTTTCATTCATTCATAGTTCAGTTCTCAAGTTCAAAAGTCACGCTCACCTTTTCACTCATTCTTAAATACATTTTTTCTTATTTTCATATCATTCACTCAAGCAAGGCAAAGGTACTCGATATTCTTCCACTACCATTTACAAATCTTATATAACTCTACATACTTACTAATAAATACAGTCAGACAAAAAAAGACAAAAAAAATACAATGTATGGGAAAATCAGTCCTTCTACCCCAATACTTGCTACCGACCTAAGCACAATTTTCATATTGGGTGACATTCCTACAACCTTCAATTTGTGGGAATCGGGCAATCTTTCTTTACATGTTTTCACCTAGTTTGGCCCAAAAGTAAATGTGCTTATGTCTACCTCGCATGGCCTATTTTAAATTGCCTTTTAATTGCATTTTCAGAGTTAGATAGCCGATTGCGGTGGTCAGGTCTGGAGGTTGGGATGTCCCGGCGTTATCCACCTCGTCCGCCTTTTCGTTATCTCGTCCAGTGTCCGGAGATCCACAACCACCAACTATTTATTATTTTATATTATTTCGTTATTATAGAAGGATAGTTTGTACACAAAAATCAATAAATGCCCAATATCCTTTGAGTGCTAAACAGTTTTTTTGACGGTTCATCAAGCTGAAAATTATTTTCTTCAACTCCACACCTGACGAACGTCGTGTGCTCACAATTACATCTTTATTTTCAGAACAATGAATAACAAAACAGAAATCAGTAAAAATGAGCAATTAATGGAAATGAATTCTTAATGGAAATGAAATGGAAAAGATAATGCTAAAAACTCTTTTTTACCACTATTAAAAAGTAATCATCTTTATTAGATAATTGTATATTATTTAATGAAAATAGACGTAATATATTACCATTATACGATTATAATGCAAGAATAATAAAGTGTAATAAATAGAAAGTTATTAAGCTACGATAATCATTCAGCTTTGTCACTAATACACTCAAAGACAAAAACCCGGCCATTTGCATTTATATATTTTCCGTAATTACTAGGTTAAAGTTATAAACTTACAACTTAAAACGTAAGCATATTAATAACTTGGAGAGTGTCCTTTTTTGAGCCAATTTGTCGAGTGAGTGTACTGGTTTTTAAAATTATTTTTGGTTCACGTTTAGAAACGATCGTATTTTACCGCACTGCAGGACCATCATTTAACGGCTTCCTTGTTAAGTAGTCAACGTCAAACAATTCATAATGTAAGGGTGAGCTCAAAAGCAGTCGTCAGAAAGTTTCGTGAGAATAGCTTAGTCTATAGACGTCAAGCATCAGATTCTACTACTGGAGAGGCATCGAGTAGAACGGCGACTATTCGCAAATCAACATCTCTCTTGGGCACTGGACCAATTTGGTTTGTGACAATCAGATGACCCAGACCGTGAATGAAGAAGACAGGAGAACGCTTTACTTCATGTGCCATACGTGAGTCACTCCCTTTTCAAAGACAGTAAAGTTATGGTATGGCTTGGAATCAACGAGAAAGGATTGACTGCACTAAGGTACATTGAGGAAGTTAGTTCTTCTGGAAGCTGTGGTCCCATACGCTCTATTTTTTGGGGACGCCGGGTTAATACATGATTATGCTCGATTGGCCAGCACTCCTGACATGGATCATATAGAACTCTTATGGGACATGATAAAGAGGCTGGTTAGACATTGTTCGTCGCCTCCAACTAGCGTTGAACCATTTCAAACCACTCTTGTTAAATGATGTTTGACGAACTAAGAAACTTAAGGCTCGCGAGGCCAGAAGAAGTGATACGCGTCATTAAAAGCGAAACTAAGTTATAAATTTTTAGTTTATGATTTTCCGGTGGTTCCCTGAATTTTCTTCCAAACCATCATAATTAAATAATTTTTATTCAACTCTTGTTTCCAATAAAATAAGCATGTTATAATTAATATAACGATAAAAATACCTAGAGTCTGAAATAAACAACAAAATACGAGTGTATTTTTATTTCAAAAGATTATCTAAGAGGACTTTTCACAGTCATTGCTGAAGTAAAAATTAAGAGAAAATTGTTTTATACGAGAAGTAAATGTTAGTTTTAATTATTTTAATTGCCCTCCAGATTTTTTTATCTTTTTAATTTAATTATTTTCTTTTACACGCAGTATTGTTTTAAACCACATTAGATTACATATACCTGTCATACTATATTCGCAAGAATAATAATAATATAACTATGTCTGTGATACAAAATCCCAATGTTGGAGAGATACAGAGATAGATAGATAGATAGATAGATAGATAGATAGATAGATAGATAGACAGAGAGAGAGAGAGAGAGAGAGAGAGAGGGAGAGAGAGAACGAGAGAGAGAGTGAGAGAGAGAGAGAAAGAGAGAGAAAAAGAGAGAGAGAGAGGGAGAGAGAGAGANGGTAGAGTAGAGTAGTGAGAAATAACAATAATTAATTTCATGATTGGAGAATTTGTCAGGATGGCGGCCCGAGAATGAACAACTAGCAGTTCATGACTTTAGTATGGGCGACGTTTCGGACTATTTTAGTCCTTCATCAGGCAAAACGTTTCGAATATACATACTTCGAAAATGAAAAGATGCTTGCAAGTTATCAATCAAAATTTAGAAATAACAATAACATGGGCAAACTTTTCCACTTTTTAACTATTTATACTTTGATTTCTAAATTAAGAAGAAGATAAAAGATATCACAATTAAATCCTTTTCGTTTGATAAAAATCACCTTCTTAGTTTTATATATTTGTAAGTTTTTATTATCTGGGGCAGTAGAATTTGTTAAATTTATGTATTTACTTGGATGCTGTACATATTACAATATTTGGTTCCCACGGAGGTAATCTTCTGAACTTAGGTCGTAGTCCTGGTATTGGATAAATGACGTTATGTCATCCTACGTTGGACATTCATATAAATGAACGTTTAGCTTCGACGTAGTAAATCTTTATTCAGGATGTGTCGCAAACGTATAATTTCCAAAATCCGAAAAAAAGGCATAACCATCGGGACGTTGGCGCCTTTGCAGTTCTTTCGCAACCTGGTGCCCATTGACCCTAAAATTGTTCCGGCAACGGAAACGGACCGGGCCCAAGTGATACACCTCCAGTCTCTCCCGGGTGAGTGGTCGATCAGGTGGGGATGCGGAGCTCAAGGATTGTTAACCCTCTCCGGCCGCGGGTATTCGCTGGATAATCGTCCAACGGTCAAGAACCAACAGCCAAGGTACGATCTTTTCTATCCAACTATTGGGTTGTCCGGAAAATAATGCAGGATTTTGGTATTAAACAAAAAAAAAGAAACTAGTTACTTTAAAGCAATGTTCTTTAATCAAAATAATTTCCCATACTCTCAATACATTTCTCCCAACGTGTTGGTAACTTATTAATTCCGTCTGAGTAGAATTCAGAATTTTTAGAATTGATAAAGTCAATAAATGCATTTTCCAGTTCCGTTTGATTTTTGAATATTATGTGTTGTAAGTAGTGGTCCAGGTGTCTAAAAAAATGGTAGTCAGTAGGCGAGAGGTCCGGAGAGTAGGGTGGGTGAGGCAAAGTTTCATAGCCAAGCTCCAATAATTTTTGTGACGTTACACGTGACACATGTGGTCGAGCGTTGTCATGCAACAAAATGGGCCCTTTCCGATTGACCAAAGAGGGCTTCATTACTGCCAATTTCTGATGCATGGTATTAATTTGGTTACAGTATGATTCAGCATTGATGGTTTCGCCAGGATTTAAGAAGCTGTAGTGTATTAAACCAAATGAAGCCCACCATACCGTAACCATTACCTTTTTTTGATGAGTTGGGGGCTTTGGAAAATGTATTGGAGCTTCTCCTTTGTCGAGCCACTGTCCAGAACGTCTAGTGTTATCGTAGAGAATCCACTTTTCGTCACATGTAACAATTCTGGCCAGAAATGGGTCATTTTTGTTTCGACAAAGAAGTGATGCACAAACATCAAAGCGCTGATTTTTTTGGCGATCGTTTAATGAGTGTGGAACCCAATTTTCGAGTTTTTTCACTTTTCCAATCGCCTTGAGGTGGTCAGCGACGGTCGTTTTACTGACTTTGAGTTGCTCTGCAAGTTCTCGAACAGTTGTTTTGGGGTTTTCTTCCACCACTGATCGCAGAACATCATCATTAAGAGAGGAAGGCCTTCCACGACCTTCTTCATCTTCAAGGCTGAAATCTCCCTCCCGAAATTTTTTAAACCACCTTTGCACAGTGCACTCATTAACACAACCCTCGCCCCAGACTTGGTTAATGTTTCTAGCCGTTTGGGCTCCGCTTCGGCCGAGTTTAAACTCGTAAAAGAAAATCGTACGAAATTCTCGCTTTGACATTATAAGGATGACTGAATTATTTCCAAGTAGCGGAATGCTACAGAGGTAAACAAACAATATCATTTGGAAGAGGATTAATAAGTGTTGACATTCATACAAATGAGTAATCCTGTAAACGTAAACAGAATATTTTATATAGATTTTTTTTAATGAAAACTTAAAATCCTGCATTATTTTCCGGACAACCCAATAACTCGTAACATAAGTCTTTGTTCGTATCCTACGTGGGTTGATCGAATCAATTTCTAAATATTTTTACAAATCGTGTATACCTGTCACTTAAAAAAAAAAATTCCAAGGGGTGATAAAAAAAACGTTTTTACTGTGTCTTCACCAATTTTATATAGAAATAATTAGAGAATAAAAATTAAAAAAAAATTATGTACTCAAACACAATCGGATAAAAATATATGATAAATAAGTACACAAAAATTATATTGAATGTTGTAAGTTGAATATTTAAAAATGTAAACAACAATAATAATATATTTATAAATTATATGTATGCATATAATCGTTCACATTCATTTAAAAGATCAATCTGTTGTTGAATATAAATAGTTCGTGATGTTTGATGATCAAATTAAAAAACAAAAACAAACAACACACTCAGTTCTTTCGTCAATCTGTCCAGGAATATATCACCTTCATCAGGACTTTCAAACTATTTTTAATGATTAACACACCTAATAAATATAAACATCTACATACTATATTAAAAAATAATGGCTTTAATTAATTTTTGTGTTTGGCTTAGTACAGTGGACGAGGTTTTCCATCCCTCCATTCTATAATTTAAGTATAATAAGTTGTGTTTATTTGTGTGTGTTCAATCATGGGCCTGAATGAATTTGATAGTTAAAGACTTATTGCTTTTTTTTATTGATAATGTTTAACTTTTAATTTTCCATGTGGTTTTTATACATTTTTTTTGTTTTATTTTTATAATAAATTTTTTGGACAATTCGGGAATTTTACACCCAACATCAGCATCTAATATTTTTTATTTAAAACTTTCATAATATACAGAATTTAATTATATATAGTTTTTCAAAAAAAGATATAACAATTTTCCATCGACAAGCCACATGGCCAAGATGGAAGAAAGAATTATAAAAAAACAAAAAGTTTATAAAATATTATTGGGTTGTCCGGAAAATAATGCAGGATTTTAAGTTTTCATTAAAAAAAATCTATATAAAATATTCTGTTTACGTTTACAGGATTACNATGGGAAATTATTTTGATTAAAGAACATTGCTTTAAAGTAACTAGTTTCTTTTTTTTTGTTTAATACCAAAATCCTGCATTATTTTCCGGACAACCCAATATAAAAAATATTTAGTTATTTTTCTGTTTTCTTAATTATAGAACAAATAAGTTTTATGTTGCTAAATATGAATGTACATAGTTTTAAAAACAAATTATTTGTAACAATCAAAACTTTACAATTATGCACACACACACACACACACACACACACACACACACACACACACACACTCTCACTCACTCACTCACTCACACAGAGACACAGAGTTTATTTTAATTTTGCACATCTATATCATTAATTTTCACGAATAATCATACATATATGTATGTATTGTGTCACGTGAATTCTATACACCTTCAGAATTGTTAATACCGAATTTAGATTTGAGTTAGTGTGGGTTTTAATCTTAATTCTTTGTGGCACAGACAATTATAAAAGGGCATTATTGGTCTAACTGGCTTACTATATTTGTGGATTTTGACCGTCCCGTATAAAATTTGGGGTTTCAAGTTCATTGGTATGAATTTTTTATTGCATGCTGATCATTTGAGAATAGAAAATCAGCACTTTTCATAGCAATTTGACCTTCGTTTATCCCATACATTGAAGAACTGCCGGAAAAAGTAGGTGAAAGTCTTAAACGAGAAGGATTTAGAGTAGCTTTTAAAGGTGCCTGCTCGCTGAGAAACACCATCTCAAAATCTAAGACATGTTGACTATTTGTCATATAGCGGGGTTTACAAATTTACTTGGAATGATTGCATATAGAACAACGAGGCAGGGAAATTAAAACGAAGGCTAAAGGACACGTGCCTAAATCGAACAAATTTCTGAATTTAAGGAAAATCTAAATTCTAAATAAAACAAATCATAACATCAATTTAAATTTAAATACAACAGTTTTACAGTGTTTCAACAAAAAGTGAGAAAAGTAGATTGGTTTGAAATTTTTAAAAAAATGTAGAGTTAAACATAGAGGTAAATCCATAAATAATCTAACAGATTTTGATTTACCCCTCCCCCCAATTTTAAACATGCACTTAAATAGTATTCGACATACAAATTACTTAATTAAAATTATTTTTCTTACAGTATTTATTGGAATAATATTTAGTCGTGTTGTAATTCGCGTTTTTCGCACGTTCAAAATTGGGCAGCATGATAAACCACAGTTCAAGCCGAAATACTTTTTGGAGAAATTCTTCACCTGATGATGAGGGTTTAATGTTTATTTTTCTAGACATATTGAAGAACGTTCAAAATCCGGGTAGTTCCTAACAACAATTCTGTAAGTAAAACCATCTTGTCCAAAAAGATAAATAGGAGTGGTTTAAACACCAGAACACATTGCTTACCAATTTAAAGTGACTTTTTGGAAAAGTTGATTTTACTGAAAGAAGTTTAAAAACTAAAACTAACTAAACTTCTGTGAGTAGAGCTATCTTTTCCAACAAGTGAACTGCCATGCTCACTCTACCTCAAATCATTTATATTAATTTAAAGTGATTGCACCTAACCAGTTTTAGATTGCAAAATTAATTTTCCCCTTTCAAATTAAAATTTCTTATTTTTTGTATGTCCTGCTTGAAGGTGGTTTTGCTTATTTACATCTTTAATTTTCTGAACTGTTCAACCTGAATTTCTTGATAGGTGACAGCCCAGAACACGGCTCCTCCTCAGACTTCTATCTTGTGGCAGATTTTAACATTACTTCTAAAACTAAAGTTTTGAGAAATAAACGAGTAATTACAATTAATTAAGGTTTTTTGTTGAGATAAAAAAGTCAATGGCACGAGCGGGATTCGAACCCACGATCTTCGGCTTGATACGCCGCTGCTCTACCACTCGATCCACTCGGACACCAACTTCCCTCTCAACCGCACCTTTGGAATTTTCCCTCCTTTTTGCCATTTTTCAAATGTCGTGTAATCGGATTGCATTAGCGGCGCATCAAGCCGAAGATCGTGGGTTCGAATCCCGCTCTTGCCATTGACTTTTTTATCTCAACTAAAACCCTTAATTAATTGTAATATATTCATTGGTCAAGCGGACCACGAAATTAGTGAATTTAAGAGAATAAACGAGTAATGTTAAAATCTCCCACATGGCAGAAGAAAAACTGGTGGAACAGTTCAGAAAAATAAAGGACTCTTATACTGTAGTCAATATTATTGATTTGCCTTTTTTTAAAGTATAAATTTAGAGCAGATCTGACATAAGAATAGTCAGCGTGTCGTTTTAATATGAAGGGAAATAACTGTAATCCTTTTTTGAAAATTTAACCTAGAGTTGTCAGAAGGAAACGGTCAGATCGTAAGAAAAGGGCGAAACGTGATACTATCCCACGTTTCTCGCATGCCTTTACTTTCGCCTTCCAAAATCTTCACGATTCCAATCAATAACCTCAACTTTTTCTATCCGTTGCGAACTAAAATTTAAATTGTTCGATAAAAAAATACTTCAGGGAGTGTAATTCTTTTTGATCGAAATAAATTACACAATGAAAATTGATTTTTTAACAGATACTATTATTTTCATTGCTCTGCTTCAAAAAAGATAATGCCTAATTTATTTTAGAAATTGCTTATTTTATTTAAGAAAATAGA